TACACTCCTCCTGTGCTCCCTCCACACGGTGGTACACTCCTCCTGCGCTGCCTGCACATGGTGGTATACTCCTCCTGTGCTCCCTCCACACAGTGGTATACTTCTCCTCAACCACAAGGATAGACTCCTGGTGGACGCAACAATGGATGGATGACTTTCTAAGCATGCTCAATGAAAGAAGAGAAAGCTGAAATGGTTACACATTGTATCATCCCATTCGTACAATAGTTTCCAAGAGCAAACCCCTGGAGTGAAAGAATGCAGTCCTCTCATGGGCAGAGTTTCACTGCAAAGGGAGGTGGGGATATGGTTCAGATAATGGAACTAGATCTTAATTGTGGTGGTTACAGGACTACATGAACAAATTCAAAAAAAACGATCTCAGCAACTGTGTGAAGTCTACTACATTTTAATTATACTTCAATGGAAATATATCTTGGGGAATTTATCATTCTCTCACTGCCAAATTTCCACCCTAAGAGATACTAAAAATGGCTTGTTTTAGCATAATAGTTTGCTAGATAGGAATAGAAAAATATTTTTTTCTTTTAAACGAATACAGCATGTCCACATTTCTGCTGTGCTTTTAAATTCTGATGAAGCCTCTACTTATTTATTTTCTAAATACTAGGTGGAAGCTATATCCACGGATGCTCCGGAATGTCTCTGAAATCGACCTGTCAGCGTCTGTTTTGGGACAGAGGGTCAGCATGCCCATATGTGTTGCGGCCACCGCCATGCAGTGCATGGCTCATGTGGACGGAGAACTGGCAACCGTGCGAGGTAGGAAGCTGTGCTTGTCCACGGGAACGGAAGAGAACTAACCTTTAGTCCCTTCCTTCTCTCTGTGCTTCAGGCGGACACTTCCTCCAAGGTTTTACACTCAGAAAAAGGGAAGTGATTACCTCTGTCATCAAGATGGCTGTTCTAGACCATCCTGCTCCCCTGTCCCCCAACCCTTTCTAGCTGTGCGGCTCTGGGTAGGATTTTCTCTCTGCGCTTTAATCTCCTCAGCCTTAAAATGGGGATAAACAGAGTAGGTAGCTTTGTGGGTTGTTGTATACTGTAGATTAAATTTGTTCATACATCTGAAAATATTTAAAACAGTGCCTGGTGTAGAATAATGGCTTAATACGTATTTATTATTATTATAATATTGTTTTCTTATTATAATTATATTATTATGTATTACAATTATTTCATATATTATGAGGGGGTACCCCCCAAAACCTAGCATTGCACTGGGTGGAGCAGAACTTTCAGAGTGTCCATTTTCCCCGCTAGGCGAGCATCCAGCAACTTGCTCTGAGTTAGTGCACCCAGTGAGTGGTGCCTGGGAAGGTTCTCTCTAGTCACAGTGAATTTTTTTGTAAAAGCAGTTTCACTCAAGCCTCATTTTTTTTTGTGAGGGCCAATTTAAGAGAACAGTGTGCAGCAGTGAAATTTTGTTTCCTGCTCAGGAAAAATGCTGCAGAAAGAGTTGTGGTGTTGAACACACCTTACAAGAACAGCCCTATGTGAAAAACTCAAATGTACAAGTGCTTTTTCTCACTTTAAAAAAGGTGAAATGTTGATTGATGACAAACCCCGTTCTGGACGTCTGTCAACTTCCCAAACAGACGAACATGTTGACTCCTAGTGCATTTGGAGTTTGTTCCACCAGGTCAGATGGTTAATCAGCTTTCTATTTAAAGGTTCTACAAAGATAGCCTAACAGTGTGAGACAAAAATGGCCTGATGTGTGGCAGACAGGGGACTGGTTTTGCCACCATGACAATGCACCTGCTCACACAGCCGGTTTTGGGTGAAAAAAACCGAGCATGCTTCTCTTGCCCTATGCATCTTACTCACCTGACCCCGCTCAGTGGGACTTCTTTTTGTTTCCATGAATGAAGAGGGACATGAAAGGACAGCGATTTGAGGAAGTAAAAGAGGTGAAGTAAAAAACGAAGGAAGTGCTGTCAGCCATCCAAACAGATGATCTTGAAAAATGTTTCCAAGAATGGAGTCACAGATTTGTCAAATGTATTAAGTGTAATGGAGAGTGCTTTGAAGGTGATAGGTTTTTTTTGTAAAAAAAATTAAATGCATACCTTTGAAAAAAATTCCATTTTTTAAGGTGCCCACTCATATATTGTATTTTATTTATCTATTTAGCTATAATTGCATAAATACATTATAAAATTAGTTATTATTATATTGACATCAATGTCTCAGAAATATAGTAATTAAGTGACTTGTACATGGTCACACAGCTACATGCTGGTTGAGGTGGGAATTCAACTTCTACATTTCAAAGTACTCCCTGCTTTCCTCAAACCAAAGTGATTCTCACAGTGACCTGCTTGGCTATGTTTCCTGTCATCATGAATCTTGGTTACTTGTGCTTCCCTCCTATCTTATGAGGGAAGGAGGAGAAATGCAAACATGATATGCAGAAGTTGCTTCTTTGTTGTTATGAGTTTAGCTGCTGTAGGCCCCGATTCATGGGGAACCCATGCCCAGTGGGACCAGATCATCATGACCCACAGGGTTGACGTTGGCTGATTTGGGGGAGTGGCCTGCCCAGGCCTTCCTTCCCTGTCCATCGTAGTGTGGACGCGCTGTTGAAACCTGTCAAGCATCAGAGCAAGGAACAACCCTCTTCTGACCGCAGGTGGTGGCTGCCCGTGAGGTGAGGTGCATTGGCTGGGAATAAACCCACGTCTCGAGCTAGCACGGGAGGAGAGGATTCTACTGCTGAATTCCTTCTCCAGGCTAGCTGATTCACTTCTCAGTCTCTGAAAGAATAAGTACATTTGAAGGCAGTAGTAATAAATATCCACAGATTCTGCTTCATACCTTCTTATAAAACTTGGTGATTCTATTTGGTGTCTTTCGATGCCCAGTTAAACACAAAACTCAAATTCACTGCCATCGGGTCGGTGCCAACTCGTAACAACCTTATATTACAGGATAGAACTCACCCTGCAACTTTCTGAGACTACAACTCTTTTCTGCAGTAGAAAGCCCCGTCTTTCTCCTGTGAGCAGCTGGTGGTTTTGAACTGCTGACCTTGTGGATTGCAGCTTGGTAGGATAGCAAAATGTAAGCCCAAATAAAAAACCAACTGTCTGCCACTGACTCAATGCTGCTGACGTATAGCGGCCCCTTGTGGGTTTCTGAGAAGATTACTCTTTACTGGAGTAGAAAGTCTCATCTTTTCTCCTGGGAGTTTGTGGTGGCTTCGAGCTGCAGACCACATGGATCACCACCCAATACATAACCACTGTACCAGTAGGGCAAAAATAGCAAGAAGGAAATATTATTTATAGCACTTTAATTCTAAGAATGATGGGTCTTGATTTACCTCCTTTCTTAAAATATCTGCCAGAGAATGCTGCTAGAGATGTATACTGAGCCAGTGGAGGGTCTGTGAAGACTTTGGTCAGAGACTAGCTGTTTCTTCATTCTCAAACTACCCACACATTTAAATGACAACAACGGCTACTACTGCCGCTGCTGCTGCTGCTAGTACTACAAAACACCCAAAACCCTCTGCCATGGAGGCAATTCTGATTTGGCATGGGCCAGGATGACGAAGAAGAACTTCTCCTTCTGACGGCTGACTCAATCTTTATGGGAGGCTGCCTTCTTTTTCTTCTGTGGAGTGGCTGGTGGTTTGAACTACTTGTTGACTTTTCTGTTGGCCATTTAAGACTTACTACAGCACCAGGGTTCCACACACAGAGAAGGGGCCTTGTAATCCCAGACAGGGACAAAGAACAAAAACAAGGGGATGCTAACTGGGTATCTCTCTCACTCAAGCTGGACTACAAAGGCCTTTGTAGGCATCATAGCGATGTAGTGGGTTATGCATTAGGCTGCGAAGCATGAGTTTAGTAGTTTGATTCCACCAGTCACTCTGCAGGAGAAAGACGAGGCACGTTGCTCCCGTGAAGATTTACAGCCTCTGAAGCCCAAACAGCCATGATGTCATTGGAATCAACCATTAAAACAAAAAAAACCCCTAACTATTGTGTTTTTGAGTTTCTATAAAAAGTAAGTGGAAAATGGAAAAAAATAAATGAGACAATCAAGAATTGACATCCTTTCTATGTAAACAGCCTTTATATTTGAATAAGAAAGCAACAAAACTCAAAATGCACAAAAATATATAATTAGACAAAAGACACAAAAGAGAAATTTACTAATACTAGAAATAAATGGTCAACCAATATGTGAAAAATATTTGACTTCACTAACAATCAAATAACTAAATTAAAATAATATTTCCCTCAAATATCAGCTTATTATTATTTTAAAATGGTACAGTATGATGGGATTAAATGGGGAAATGCATAGCTCCTGCACTGAAGTGTACATGTTACAGTATTTCTAGAAAATAATGTGACTCCCTTTATCAATCGTTTTACAATGAAAATGCCATATGATACTGTAAATTTTCTTCTAATAATTCCAAGGAAACATTACCAATTTGAAGAAAGCCATATCTTCAATGATATTCACTCATATCTCTATTATTTTTAGTAGGGGAAAAGTTGGAAACAATTCTGTATGTCCCATAATAGGAAATTAGTTGTCCAAACTATATTCTATCAAAAATGGGCTAACTATATCACAGAAAAAAATAATGCTATGGAAATATGTTCTGATATACTACTTTTTAAAAAGATAATTATGACCAATTATAAAATGTTAAAATATATATGGAAAGACCAAAAGGCATACTATATTTTAAGAATGTTTCTTATGATTGATGGGATTACTTTATTTTATATTTGGTCCATATTTGTAGCATTTTTATGACTTATTTTGGAATAAGAAGGAAATCAGAATGAGATTTCAGAGTACACAGAAAAGTGAAAAAGGGGACAATGAGAGAATACAAGGGAAGGAAAGGGAGTGTTGGATTCAATAAACAATGCCACTTAGTAAGACACCCTGGAGTCGACAAATAATTGTTCACCTATGTCTCACTCATTTATGGGCAATGAGTTAGGCTGGGTCGACTAGAGAAACAAATCCAGTGTCGCACATCTATGTATCGGATGCAGCTTTATATTAAGAAGTTACTATATATCAAGAAGGCATCCCAGCCCAATCCAACCCAACTCCCTAAGTCCAATAGTAGTCCCTAAGTCCCTCTTCCGACTCATGTAGCCACATGCAATGACACCGAATGCAGACAGATCACTTTGGTGGGTGCAAAGTAGAGTGGATGCAAGGTTGGTGGACACATGGCAGGGTACTAACAGCTCTCAGGATCAGTGGTAGAGTCCCAGTAAGCAGGAAAGTGAGGCAGCAGAGAGAGGGAGGTTTCCAGTTTCCCCAGGTTATAAGAGGGCCACCCCCCCAAGGAGGATGGAGTCCACTCCTCCGCTTTTATACATCTTCAAGTTGACATAACCTGAAGTAGTTATCTAACTACTACAGCAAGTTTTCACAGTAAGTAAATAATGTGATTTACTCCCAATCCATTGGTTTTCAACCTTCCTAATGCTGCGACCCCTTAATACAGTTCCTCATGTTGTGGTGACCCCCAAACCATGAGATTATTTTCGTTGCTACTCCATAACTGTAATTTTGCTACTGTTATGAATTGGGCGACCCCTGTGAAAGGGTCGTTTGAACCCCAAAGGGGTCGTGACCCACAGGTTGAGAACCACTGCCCTAACCCACCCCCAATGGTTCCAAACTTATTCTCTCAGTGACAGAGGTGAATTTTGAAGGAAAGCAAGAAGAGCTCTATTTCAAAACTATACTTTGTGTCCACAAAGAAC